CTTTAGTTTTTAGATGGTTCAGATATCTGTTTTCTTCATGAAAATAGTAGAAAGGGGAAGGAGAAGAGGAGGAGGAGGAGGAGGAGGAGGAGGATTGTATCACTACAGTGATACACATATCAAAAAGGTCACCTGATAATGGTCCTCTCCATCTTTTTGCTTGTTATAGGGAGGCCCTGAAGAGAGGATGTGCTATTGAGAGACTCTTTATCAGCAGTGCTGAATATGGATGCCCCCTTCTGAAGGCTTCCAGTTTTTGAGACCCAGGAGGCCTAGCTGTTGCAAGAAGTAGGTCACAATTTGCAGGACTTGTTGAAGCTTTGCACACCGGGCTCTGCCTTTACGGTATTCTGAACAGGTTAGCAGAGGATACATACGTACACATGTTATAAATGTCTGGGCTAGCTGAGACCAGCAGCTATCATCCATTTAGGAATCAGGAAGGGATTCAGGTTTACTAAAGATGAGATGGAGCATGTTTTCTGCCTTCTCTGAAAGTGGTGCTTTGAGGAAATTATAAAGCATTTGTCACAACTGCAGAGAGCAAGACCCGGATCAAAAGGAAGTTTGAGGAACTGGCACCGGGAAGCACTACAAACTGTAAAAACCATCTTGCAGATTTAGGCAATTGCCAGCAACAGACGCTCATGATTCATAGGGTTTCAGGATTTTGCCGGAACATTTGACTGAGTGGAAACATAATTGGGGATGGAAGAATCAAGGGCCAGCTTCACATGGAAGAAAATAGACATTATGACTTAAACCATAGCTCTTCTGCCATTATTGTAATCAAATTAAAATATGAATTTGTGTGTGTGTGTGTGTGTGTGTGTGTGTGTACATACTGATCTGAATCTGAATCTGAAGTGGGATACCTTAATCAATTATGTTCCCTTACCTAGCAAGAAGCATTTGCCGAGTGAAGATTCTTTAAATCTGCATCCAGTTGTTTGTTTGTTTGTTTGTTTATTTAGATTTGTATACTGCCCTATCTCCCTTACGGGACTCAGGGCGGTGAACAGATGATAATAAAAATCATATTTAGATGATATTTAGAATATCTATTCTAAAATCAAATTAAATAAATAATTTGATAGTTAGTATTGTATTCACTTATGAATCATGAGAACATTCATTCGGAGTTAGATAAATTGTTTTACAGGTAAGCCACATGCCAGCTGGTTAAATTAGGGTACAAAATCTAATCATATATTTTCTCAAAGATATGACAGCTGAATTTCTACTTCTTCCCATCTTTCCCCACTTGGCTTGGATGATAATTCTAATACATCCCAGCCAGAATGGTAAGTGGCCAAAGATAATGGGAAATTCCACTTGTAAACATCTGAAGAGCCCACTTGGAAAAAAAATGGAAGCTCTCTTACACTACAGTGCATCCAGCTATGGCAGAAGCTTTTTTATATACTCACCTAAGTCATATATTCATATAGCGGCCTATAAAATAAGAATGACATAAAAACACTAGCCACATACTAGGAAGGTAAAAGCAGCAGCAAAAACAAAGAATTCCACCAGACCCCCAAAACTAAAATCACGAGTAATATTAAGCATCTGCCAATAGAATGCTTTTCTAAAAAAAGGAGGTGCCTATATATTCCAAATAAGTATAGATGATGGATTTGACCACTTGTACCACCATATTTCACAGATACTGAAGAGTTTTATTTGTCTGATTAAGGCTATAATATAGTCCCACAAACACTCAAGAGCATCCTCTTCTCCACCAAAAGTAAGAACAGTTTATTCCGCCCAAGGAAAACAGTACACATATATAGCCATCATGCTATTTTCTTCCAGAGTGTGGCAATGCACCGCATATAGCTCCTTGATATTGGGATGTGGGAAACAGTATTTATTAATCAAATCTATATAGCCACCCATCGCACAAGACTTTGGGCAGCATACAATAGTTATTAAAAATAATACATGTATAAAAACAGACATTAAAAAATAGAAAATCAGCATTAAAAATGAATATTTGGTGGCCATCTAAGATAGTTTCCAGATTAGAAACCCTATTTTGCATGGAATAGTGTGAGCATGTTTAGAATGAACCTGGGCTTTGGTTACTCTTAGGGCATCCTGGCTAAAATTTGCCCCAAATGACTGCTAAGGTCCTTAACAGGAGCAGAGGAAGCTCCGTGTGCTGCTGGTAAAAAAAAGTCTGCTATCTTCATCCATGCCTTTTTTTGTCTTACTAAAAAGGATTGGATAAAAGCATTAGGTAACAATGGCTCCAAGATTCAATCTTGCAGAATTTGAAAACCAAGAGCAGTGAAAAGGACAGGATCTGATTTCTTTAGAGACATTCCCATGGTATTTCAGACTGTCACAGTGCTAGGCTGCATTAACAGAGGAATAGAATCAGGATCACGTGAAGTGTTAATACCACTTTACAATGCTTTGGAAAGGCCACACTTGGAATACTGCATCAAGTTTTGGTCACCATGATGTAAAAAAGATATTGAGACTCTAGAAAGAGTACAGAGAAGAGCAACAAAGACGATCAGGGGACTGGAGGCTAAACCACGTAAAGAACTGTTGCTGGAATTGGGTATGTCTAGTTTAATGAAGAGAAGGACGAGGGGGGACATGATAGTGGTGTTCCAATATCTCAGGGGTTGCCACAAAGAAGAGGGAGTCAAGCTATTCTCCAAAGCAGCTGAAGGCAGGACAAGAAGCAGCAGATGGAAAATAATCAAGGAGAGAAGCAACCTAGAACTAAGGAGAAACTTCCTGACAGTTAGAACAATTAACCAGTGGAACAACCTGCCTCCAGAAGTGGTGAATGCTCCAACACTGGAAGTTTTTAAAAAGAGACTGGACAGCCATTTGTCCGAAATGGTATAGGGTTTCCTGCCTAAGCAGGGGGTTGGACTAGATGACCTCCAAGGTCCCTTCCAACTTTTTATTTATTTTTATTAATTTATTAATTAATTTATTAATTTATTAATTTATTAATTTATTAATTTATTAATATTATCTGTTTTTAGAAAATTAGACCATAATCCCTATCCATATTTCTATAGAAATAAGATCTACTATATTTGCAGAGAAACGTGCATTGGTTGCAAACCTTAGACATTTTTATTCATTGATAAAAACGCAGTTATCACTTTTCTATCAGCATCACACAAAACCAGAAAGCACTTAAAGCAGCAAATGTGACGGTAAAAAGAGAATGAATAAATAACATAAATGTGTAGCATCTTCAAGATTAATCAATTTGAAGGGGCAGAAGCTTTGTTTATGTACCAACCCCCCCCCAATTAATCTTGAGAGTCCTACTAGATTCCACATTGATTTAATTGCCTAGACTAATATGAGTCTTCCTCCCCATTTCCAAGATATGTCAAACGCCATGATATTTTTTTAGAAAGCAGGACAAATATGACTAAATATTATAAAAATGTTATTTTTCACAAATCAGTTAGCCTGGTGGGATAGCATGGAGTGCCTAGGTCCTCCTCCTTGTTCAACCTGCTCTGCTCTTCTGATGACCTTGGTAAAGCCCCCAAGTAATGAAGACTCAAAACCGTGTTTAAAGACTTGCGGGGAAAACAACCTAAGACAACGTGTTCCGACTAATGGGCAGGTGTCCCCCATTCGGTGATGACTGCTGCTGTTCAGTGGGGGGAATCACTTCCAAGACAACATTGCTTTAGTTGGGGTAGCAACTGGTGGGTGTGCTGCTGCTGCTGCTGCTGCTGCTGCTGTTGTTGTTATCGGCAGCCTTGGAGTCTGTCTGGGAGCCAGGGAATGCTCCCCTCCCAGTTGGGTTGCTAATATTGGACTCCTGACTCGATCTGCCAGGAACTGCTGCCAGGTTATTCTCCTATGGCTAAGAAGACATCACAGCCCCCGTCCCATGCCAGGCAAATATAGAAGGGCTGAAATAAACCAGCAAAGAGATGCTTTGCTTTGATGAAGTTTCATGCGAAGCCCTCTTTTAAGGCAGCTTTGCCAACCTGCTTTCTAAATAGCAGTGCATATGAGCTGCTTCCCTTCCCTTCGCTGGATGAGATGGACTTGTCTGTAAAGAAACATACAACACACCCCTCCGCACACACACAGTTTATAAAGGCCAACTGGGCCATCTTGCACTATCCTAAAAAAGAAACTACTGGTCTTCCTTGCTTCCTACCTCAGACAGGTAAGGACCCTAAAGAAAAAGGGCTCCCAAGGAGAAATCGATAACTGATCGTCCAAATATTTGCTACATTCCCAGGTAGACAGACCTGAGCTAGCTAGCTAGAAGTTCAAACTTGTTCCCAGCATTGCTCAACAATCCCATGTGACATTCAGTGAAAAGGATGCTCCTGGCCAACCTTTGTTCATCTAATGTCAAATGTTGAGTGTGAATCGTTCAAGTATAAAATCAGGCGGTTTGCAAAGTATTAATGGAATAAGGTCAGGTTTGATTAGGAGCCCCTGCCCTAAAGTGCTTACAGTCCAAAATGCAACCCTGAAATCAACAGCAGAGAGGAGACTGAGGCAAAGGAAATAGAAAGAACATTAATTCAATTCCGTTCTTAGATAGGCGTGTTTAAGCTGGTGGTTCCATGCAGTAATAAAATAAAGGAATAAAAATTATATTGCTTTAAAAAAACAAACTCAACAATTTCAATGCCATCAAATGAGTCTAATAAATGCTTACATCATATCCCTTGTTTAGAATGATTCCTGCCCCCATCTGCAGCTGACCCCCCCTCCCTTTCTGTTTGTGCAAGTAAAAAAAAGCTTCTGCCCTTTTATCTAATGGTTGCCTATTTACACACATAGTTACCGCATTCCTAAAATGCCTCCCAGTTAGTCCTGTCTCATTCCTTGCAAAAGTGCGCTTTGAATGCCAAGATTTTTGCAACTAAAGTAATTGCACATTATTTCTATTTCTTTTTTTTTTTTTAAAAAAAACTTTGTAGGATTGCTATTTGAATGAAAACATAATAAGGATAGATGAAAATTTTCTCTCAACTTACTATCAAAGTAGACCTAAAGGACCAGATTCTTAGAATTTCCAGGCAGACCTTTCTGTTTCTAGATATTGCTCTGATTTCTTTCATTCCTGGATCTCGTTGAGCAATTAATGCCTTGAGATTACAATTGGTCGTACACCTCTGTGGGCAAACATAGCTTGCTTGTTTATCTAACTACATAACTGGAGAAAGCAGCTTTGAGAATGGAATGTGACTCTCTTCCCCCAGGGGCACTTAAATTACTTTGCTTCCATTCCCCAGCACTTATATACCCACTGCAGAAGATTTGTAACCATTTGCAACCAAGTGCCATCAACCTGTTTGTATAGACAAAATTGCTGAAATGGCAGAATGTCGGAGAATCTCTCTAGTTCTGTAATAAAACCTGCCTAAGATGATCAATTACAGACTGTTTATCAGGTGGTGGTGGTGGGGTTGTTTTGCAATGTTTGGAAATGTGGAGGGATTCCCTTCATCCGCCCCCCCTTTTGTATACATGTCCTGGGAGCTTGGGGGAGGTAGGGCTGCTATTTGGGAAAAAATGGCATTTCTGGGGGAAAAAATGGGTAGTTAGGGAATTCTGGGAGTTGAAGTCCACACCTCTTAAAGTTGCCAAGGTTGAGAAACACTGCTCTAGGGAATGGAAGCTGGCATAATCCATATATTTTATATATATATATACACACATCTCTGGAGGATAGCCTGAAATTTGTGCTTAAATTTATAGTCATAAAGGGAATTCAGAGATTTGGCACGTCATGTGCAAAGAACTCCCGGGTTAAGGATAACATTTTCCTTCTCTTTTACCACAAATCCCCCGACTATTGACCTTCAAATGTGAACTTTTAAAAGAGATTGGGTAAGTTCTTTTGTGACACTATCTATTGTATGCATGCCGCGATGTTGGGAGCAGCAACGTGATGTCCTTCTAAATTATAGTCATACCGTGACAACAACACTGGAGAGGATTAAGAGAAAGTGAGTGAAAGATGACTCAAAGTGACAGGTGATTGACTGTGGACTTTTAGCTCGGGCTGCTGTCTCCTAATTCCTTCCAAATTCTCCGAGGAAGTTCTAGTGAAGGTGGTGGCATGAGCTCCAGGTAACCAAAATCATGCTGGGTTTCAATGGGTTCGGTGCCAAAAGGGCATTTAATGCTATCTGAAGCCCGGGTCTCGCCTTCCTGCCAGAGCACTCCTGTTTGTGAGTTTTCTAAAGCTATAAATGGAAACTCTAGCTAGGAAGAAATTATCACCCAGGCATTCCGATCCAGTCCAGTCTCACCACTAGAGTGTGGGCAGTCATGGTTTCCAACACCTAGCCAGTTAAGCTCCTTCTTTTTGGGATTTAAATCTTTCTCTTGCTGGGAAATGGAGATAGAAAAATGTAAAAGACTCTCTTCAGCAAAACACAAGTTATCCCAAGAGAAGCTGAAGGTAGGATGCAATTTTCCTTGGCGTTATTATGCAATATTAAGATACTAGAGGCCGAGAAGAAAAGTAGTTACTATTTTTATACTTCCTCCAGTGACCTTAATGATTAGCTGGTTCAGCCACGGGGTGTTGAAATTAATTGTGCTATAATCTTTCAGCAGGGATTATGGAACTTCTTAATCGATATTTCCCTGGCTATGAATTTTTCAGATGGTAAATCCTGGATCTGCAAATGCTCAGTGTGTAGTGTTGTCTAAAAATAAAACAATTCTATAATTTGCTAAATCTTACATTATGCTGGGTGTTATACGACTGGGTATGAGAAAGAGAATCTTGGAAGAAGCAGCTGACAAAAAGTTCTGTTTCATTTTGTTTACGCTACTTCCTGATTGCAACTTCAGTGAGAAAAATAGAATTTGCTTGTGCCAATAGTTGTTATTCCCAGGGGCAACGAGGTGCCATGTTATTCCTGACACTGGAAATTATGAGAGAGAAGGGGGGGAGAGGGAGGGAGGGAGGGAGGGAGGGAGGGAGGGAGAGAGAGAGAGAGAGAGAGAGAGAGAGAGAGAGAGAGAGAGAGAGAGAGAGAGAGAGAGAGAGAGAGAGAAGAAGGGAAAAAAACCTTGCAGTCACTCATGTTGAATGACAAATTAGAAATAGTATCACATTCTTAACTAAGAATGTCATAACATTAAGAGCACTAGAGTTATCGGTTTTCTGTTATAAACAGAACTGTCTGCATCTATGTCTGCAAAACTCCAGACAAGGCTAGGTGGTAGCAGATGTCAGATAAACAACTCTTAAAAACTCTACTGCTACCTACTGGTTGCTTGGGTTTTTGCATTCCTGATATGGTAATCTTGGACTGCTCCTTTCCGAATTTATATGTTAGCAAAACTGTTGGTACTATTTCAATCCTTTTAATAGACTCTAACAATTTAAATATTGGAGAAAATATAAAAACTGAAGTGGGCCACTCCACTACTTTACACCTGTTCCTCATTTATTGAAAGGTTTCTCTTCAACTGTTAAATGTTGCCTGGACTGGTGAGAGGAGGAGGAGGGGGAGGAGGGGAGAGGAGGAGGAGGAGAAGGAGGAGGAGGAGATGATTCAGATCAGAACCAGAAACTGTCAAAAACATTTTCCAGAGAAATAGTTTTAAGCAGTACAGTTAGTCCTAACTTATGATTACAACTGAGCCCAAAATTTATGTTGCTAAGTGAGACATTTGTTATGTGAGTTCTCCCCCATCTTATGATCTTTCTTGCCACAGTTGTGAAATGAATCACTGCAGTTATTTAGTAACATGTTTAGTAAGTGAATCTGGTTTCCCGCATTGACTTTCCTTGTTAGAAGGTCACAAAAGGTGATCACATGATCCCGGGACACTGTAATCATCATAAATATGAGTCAGTTGCCAAGCGTCTGAATTTTGATGGCATGGCCATGGTGATGCCACAATGGTTATTATAAGTGTGAGAAATGGTGATAAGTCACCTTTTTTTGGTGCTGCTGTAACTTTGAACTATTGTAAGTTGAGGACTACCTGTATATGAGTGGAGAAAGTAACAACAAGGACTGTTTAAACCAGGGGTGTCAAACTGCCGGTCCGCGGGCCAGTTTCATCATACTGAAGCCGCGCCCACCCCATTGCCGGCAATGGCAAAACCTGCCCGATACGTTGCGCGATGTCATGTGACATCGCGAGTTTGACACCCCTGGTTTAAAACAGATCCTTAAACTAACCAAAGGCAGGGCACAGGGCTGGCCGCTGGATTGTTAATAACATTGGAAGACATGTGTGAGTGGACTATCTATATATAAACGTCACAGATTACATTCCACCATTTAAAAGTCTAATAGTGCTATAAAGCTTTTGCAGGCTGGACATGGATCCTAATTTTCAAGGCCACTTTGGACATTTTTGGACCCCAGACAGAACATTTGCTAAACTCCCTTCACATTATTAAGGGTAAACGTTGCAATAATTATAATCAATCGAACATCTGAGAAGTTATTGCCCCTTGAGGATACCTGAAGTAAACCACCTAAGAATGGCAATATTATTTTACCTAACGGTAGGGCTGGCCTTTAATGCACTGCAGTGAAAAGAAGGGAAAAGCACCTGTGAACCAGCCCTTAAGAGCTTCTCTTGCAGCTGTCTGCAACATTGTCTACAGCAGTCCCTGTGTTCTTTTCACGCGTCAGACATTTCAGCTTCTACTCGAAAGATTCCTAGCATTATAAGCATCTGAGTCTCGATTCTGCCCAGTTTAGTATATGTGATCACGTAGGCCGAGAGATCATTTAAAGAAACAAATAATAATGCCCACATGATGCTGGACTAAGATTACTGAGCATGCTAGTGATAATTGGGCATTGGGTACAGACTTGGTCCCTTTCAAAGTTCTGCCAAGGATAGCAGATAAACATGTTGCTCTCTTGGCCAATCGAGAAGGCATTCCCCCCCCCATCCCCTGCCCCCAGTTCCACAAATAGAAAGCAATCTCACTGGCAGTTGAACCTTTCTTTCTATTTCAGCAGTAGGACAGTGTCCTTAAGGGCACCTGATAATTATCACTTATAAGTGAACTCTACCTTACAGCAGGGGTCCTCAACCTTGGCAACTTTAAGACTTGTGGACTTCAACTCCCAGAATTTCTCAGCCAGCAATGCTGGCTGAGGAATTCTGGGAGTTGAAGTCCACAAGTCTTAAAGTTGCCAAGGTTGAGGACCCCTGCTGTACAGGATATAGAATTGATCTTGATTGCCTGAAATTACTATCCTGGTATGCCTTAGGTCTTAGGACAGGGGTCTTCAAACTTGGCCCTTTTATGACTTGTGAACTTCAACTCCCAGAATTCCTCAGCGAGCGTGCCTGGCTGAGGAATTCTGGGAGTTGAAGTCCACAAGCCATAAAAGGGCCAAGTTTGAAGACCCCTGTCTTAGGACAACATCAGTGACTCTGACTGAACTGAGAGACTGAATCCTCAATTCTCCTCAAAATCAGAGCATCGGTGTCCTTGGCCGCAGATTGAGGGTTAACACTGCATTTCTTACCCCATTTAGTACTATAAAAATGTGGAGAAACTGCGGCATTCTTGGAAATCAGGACTCTTAATATTTCGATTACCAAGGTGCTGCTTCTCTCGTGGATGATCATTTGTGATGCTTTAATGATCTCCTGTCTCTGTGAAGAGAAGTTGCAATCCTTTCATGAAATGTGGCTTTTTCTGATGGGATTCTATCATTAATACCATACCCCATAGCCTTTCTTGAACATAAAACTATTGGTTCAGTTTTTTCCCCAAGATATTGGACAATATCATGAGTTCCTTATAGATACTAAATCCCAAAGACTGCAAAACACGACATCTTTTGACATTTGTATTCTCAGCAGCCTTTGGAAACTCTTATTTTACTAATTATTTAGGAACCCTTGATACCCAATTTAGCAGGTTATCCTTTTTGCAGGGGTGGAGTGGAAGGTGGAGTGCAAATTACTACTTCACAAATGGATTACAATGTATGTCTGATCTCCCTATACCAAATCGGGATTCAGGACAATTTCCAGAAATTAGCATTTCAAACATGAGAGGGGTTGTCATTTTTGGACAAACAGGCAGAGTTATGCGCTGTGAAGGCTCAATCTGAATATTAATTCAAAGCCTCCTTTATCTTGTCTAACAACTGATTCCCTTTGCCAATTCTGATGCCTCTTACCCTCCAGGG